ATTACACATGGCTGCCTGTGTGCATCACAGGCTCCAGAGCTGCCAGTGTGCATCACAGGTTCCAGTCAATAATTACACATGGCTGCAAGTGTGCATCACAGGCTCCAGTCAATATTTACACATGGCTGGCAGTGTGCATCACAGGCTCCAGTCAATTTTCACACACGGCTGCCAGTGTACATCACAGGCTCCAGTCAATTTTCACACACGGCTGCCAGTGTACATCACAGGCTCCGGTCAATATTTACATACAGCAGCCAGTGTGTATCAGTACCTACCTGCTCACCAGATGGTATATGCAAAGTTTTTGGAGCTGCTTTACCAATGAACTTATTGAGTAATCTTATATTAGCAAATGTTCCTCTAGCCATGACAGCATCATTACCACGACGACTACCATAGGAATTGAACTCACGGGCAGTCAACCTAGAAAAACATAGAACAACAATATTATTTGAGCAGGTATGCTTAAATACAAATGGAAGTAAATTGCACCTTTTTGTTTAGACTAGACAAAATGATTGCTGAGATATAATTGAGGGGTAGATACTCGGAAGACTTGTTTTGCTATGTTTTGCCATGGCATTTCAGGTTAACGAGACAACAGAAGAAAGTGCAACACTATTTGAGTAAACACAAGTTTCCTGGCTTTCTCTATATGAACAAAAACTCAATTTGCCATTTTCAGCGAGTCTATTGAGAGTATTTGTAACTGTTTCTACTGTGGATGCGTGAATAAAAGAAACACCTAATTATGCTCCAGTCAATGTCAACCCCTACCCTCCCCTCCTCGGGGTTTAGTGGGGGATTTGGAAATTGTTGGAAATTTGGAAATTGGATTGTTGTAAAATTTGCGAAATGCCCCACCTCCTGGGGCAAGATGGATAGGCAAATCCCCAACCAAAACAAACCCCCACATTTCTTCCACCGATCGTCACTGTCCGCCATGCTTGCTATCAGCAGAGTACTAGCGATGCTAGCAATGACGGGACACGAAACACGGCTATTACCCCACCTCCACAGGCACAGTTTGGCAATAAACCCTGTCTAATGCCCCACATTTGTCCCGTATCGCCCGAGGTGGGAGGGGTCGGGGTTGACATTGACTGGAGCATTACCAACATTGTCAGCAAACTTGCTAACGAATCATATGTACCGATTCAAACTGGCATCTGGAGATCATTATCCCATTTTCAATAGAAGGCCAAGATGCTTTTAGAGAGGGGCTTGATTGGTGCATGAATTTTCCATAATAACTTTTATTGTTAAATTCTCAAGTTGAGTTCAGTATTTAATATTTAAAATAGCTCAAAATGAGAAAAAATACAAAAAAATTAGCATAAAGTAATGACTTGAGTGAGCCACCATTTCCTCTTTTTGAGACTAAGGGGCCCAAAGTGTTTCAAATTGATAACGATCTCCAGACATCAACACAGACGATTCGTTAGCAAGTTTGCTGACGATGTTGGTAATTAGGTGTACCTTTCATTCACACGTCCACAGTAAGAATTGCAGAGAAACAATAATATTGATCTCGTATTCACTCTATTAAGTTTGCTTTGGATACACAAAAAAACAATAGTGGCAATAGTGTTTATAAAAAAGTTTGACAGCCAGATTCAAAATTAGAAGAATGAAAGTTAAGCAAAGACAAGGTCCTTAAATTGTGTTTACTGACCATTACTATGTGCTACATTTTACCCAGCAGTTGTATTGGTAGGGGATATACTCCCCCTCTATCAGCAAGGTACCTAGAAGCTGGACTAGTACGGATATACTCCCCCTCTATCAGCAAGGTACCTAGAAGCTGGACTAGTATGAGATATGCTCACCCTCTTTCAGCAAGGTACCTAGAAGCTGGACTAGTACGGATATACTCACCCTCTTTCAGCAAGGTACCTAGAAGCTGGACTAGTACGAGATATACTCGCCCTCTTTCAGCAAGGTACCTAGAAGCTGGACTAGTACGGATATACTCGCCCTCTTTCAGCAAGGTACCTAGAAGCTGGACTAGTACGGATATACTCACCCTCTTTCAGCAAGGTACCTAGCATCTGGACTAGTACGGATATACTCACCCTCTTTCAGCAAGGTACCTAGCAGCTGGACTAGTACGGGATATACTCACCCTCTTTCAGCAAGGTACCTACATGTAGCATCTGGACTAGTATGAGATATACTCACCCTCTTTCAGCAAGGTACCTCGCATCTGGACTAGTATGAGATATACTCACCCTCTTTCAGCAAGGTACCTAGCATCTGGACTAGTACGGGATATACTCACCCTCTTTCAGCAAGGTACCTAGCAGCTGGACTAGTACGGGATATACTCACCCTCTTTCAGCAAGGTACCTACATGTAGCATCTGGACTAGTATGAGATATACTCACCCTCTTTCAGCAAGGTACCTAGCATCTGGACTAGTATGAGATATACTCACCCTCTTTCAGCAAGGTACCTAGCATCTGGACTAGTACGGGATATACTCACCCTCTTTCAGCAAGGTACCTAGCATCTGGACTAGTACGGGATATACTCACCCTCTTTCAGCAAGGTACCTAGCATCTGGACTAGTACGGATATACTCTCCCTCTATCAGCAAGGTACCTAGAAGCTGGACTAGTACGGATATACTCACCCTCTATCAGCGAGGTACCTAGCAGCTGGACTAGTACTGATATACTCACCCTCTCTTAGCAAGGTACCTAGCATCTGGACTAGTACGGATATACTCACCCTCTTTCAGCAAGGTACCTAGCAGCTGGACTAGTACGGGATATACTCACCCTCTTTCAGCAAGGTATCTAGAAGCTGGACTAGTACGGGATATACTCGCCCTCTATCAGCGAGGTACCTTGCATCTGGACTAGTACGAATATACTCACCCTCTTTCAGCAAGGTACCTAGCAGCTGGACTAGTACGGGATATACTCACCCTCTTTCAGCAAGGTACCTAGCATCTGGACTCGTATGGGATATACTCACCCTCTTTCAGCAAGGTACCTTGCATCTGGACTAGTACGGATATACTCGCCCTCTTTCAGCAAGGTACCTTGCATCTGGACTAGTACGGATATACTCACCCTCTTT